TAACTTCAGGGGAATGCAAGGCAAGCATTCTTGGGGTGGTGGTATGGTTTCAGTTATGACAAAAGGGTAAAGTGAGCATTCATTGAAGTTTCTTTTGCGGGAGGCAAGGGGGGGTATATTCGAAAGAGCTCAGTGAAAAGATGTGAGATGGAGAGGAATTAGCTCCCTTGGATAAGGCAAGAAGAAGCAAAGGATTATGGGAATCTGTACTTTATAGGATGGATAAACATTAGTGATTACATTTCTTGGGCAGTATTGAGGATGCAGAAGTGAGACACAGCCCCAGGGTTTTCAACATATTCTAATTTCTCAAAATGCCATCTTAATGTCTATTATATATTGTTTTGTAATACACATATGTATTGTTTTGTATCCTGTTATTTTAAGTGTAACTGTACTGAACAACTTCCAAGTACCAAAATTTATTGAGTCAATTGGTTCATGTTAGCACATTAGTCTTAGCATATTTGCATAAAATTAAGATGGAATTGACATTCTTATCACAGGACAATCATACTTTTTTTCAGTTACTTTAAGGAATAAAGTCTCCTATGTTGATGCACATTTAAGTATTTTATATGTATGCTAATGTTTAAAACTTTACCACAAGATATTTTTATTATAACTTTTTAAGGAAACCCTGCATAAGAATGCTTCCTCAGGCCGGGTGCGGTGGCTCAAGCCTGTAATCCCAGCACTTTGGGAGGCCGAGGTGGGTGGATCACAAGGTCAAGAGATTGAGACCATCTTAGTCAACATGGTGAAACCCCGTCTGTACTAAAAATACAAAAAATTAGCTGGGCATGGTGGCGCGTGCCTGTAATCCCAGGTGCTCAGGAGGCTGAGGCAGGAGAATTGCCTGAACCCAGGAGGTGGAGCTTGCGGTGAGCCGAGATCGCGCCATTGCACTCCAGCCTGGGTAACAAGAGCGAAACTCCGTCTCAAAAAAAGAATGCTTCCTCACCTTACCCCTAAAACTGAGAGTAATCTTGACCCTATACTTCTGTGGAAAGAGATCAAACAAATCTTCAAGTTAATAGAAACGCAACAGAATTCTGAACCCAGGGAATTAATCAAATGATTTCAGTGTTTATATAAACAAATAGAATCCTGAAACCTGTAGAACTGATGTGTTCAGTGTTGTAACCTTTATCTAGTACATACTTGCTCAGATAGTTTATTATATTTATTTTTTTATATTTGTTTTGTATAGTTTTGTTAAAAATATAAAATCAGACCTGGTTCTAATTCTAGCTCCATCTTCTTATCTCTGTGACCCTAAACAGGTTATTTAATGTCTTTTTTAAAAAAAATTAGGTAGCCAGGCGTGGTAGCTTATGCCTACAATCACAACACCTTGGGAGACCAAGGCAGGTTGATCTCTTGAGCCTAGGAGTTCAAGACCAGCCTGGGTAACATGGCAAAACCCCACCTCTACAAAAATTAGCCAAACGTGGTGGCACACACCTTTAGTCCCAGCTACTAAGGAAGCTGAGGTAGGAGGGTAGCATGAGCCCAGGACACCATGACTGCCACTGTGATCACGCCATTGCACTCCAGCCTGAGTGACAAGCAAGGCCCTTTCTCAAAAGACACACAAAAAAGATAACATTCTATATCTGTATAATGGTGATGATTTTTCATATGCTTTATAGAGTTATGAGAATTATATGAAGGTACTTAGCCTAATGCCTAGTAGATAGCAAGCACTCATTAAGTATTTGCTAATTTTTATTGTTTGTTATTCTTTTTTTTTTTCCAAAAACAACTTTATTCATGACACATATTTAAAAAAAAATTCCCACCCCTGGAAATGAGGTAAAAAAATAAACAAAATCCATCTCCCACCTCCCTGTTCCCACTTCCTCCATTCCCTCCAAATAAAAGGGAAAAAAGGCAAAGGAAAACAAAACCAAAAAAACTGGAAAACAAAAACACCCTAAACCCCTCAAAACAAGTTAGTGCATTTCCCCAGGGGGAAGAGGAATTTACACTGGAGCCGCTGGGAGCGCAACGGAGATCTTCTGCTACAGAAACCTGCAAAGAAAGACACTCAAAACAGAAAATGAAACACCAAAGGAAACAAAACAGATCACCAGGCAACCTGGAGAGACAGGGAGCCGGAGAAGAGGGGTGGGGTGGGTGGTAGACCTGGCTGGACAGGAGCAGGCAGGAGGGGACTGTGAAAGGCAAGAAGATGGAGGGAAGGTAACAAGCAGAACAGTTTGGTGTCCTTCCAGAGCCCTGGGTAAAAAAAAATAAAACCTCATACCACCCACGCCCACCTACCCTTGAGTAGCCCCCAAGGGGGTGAAGTGGGGCAGGGAAACATGGGGAGCAGCTTGCACAGTTGAGACGTGTCCCTGGCGAACCCTCAGAGTGAATAAGCAGCCCCCGCCGCACTCCCTGGGCCTTCCCCTACTCCCCAAAGCAGGTCTCTCAGCAGTTAGTTATGGAATTCATCCCACTTCCACATTATATCTTTTATTAAAAAATGTTTTTTTTTCTATCAAGGTCACCTTCTGGTTTTTTTTTTGGGGGGGGGTGTTTATCCTTTTTTTTTTTTTTCCTTCTTTCCTCTTTTTTTCCTCTGTCTCCTCATAATACACATTTTTTTTAGTAAGGGGAGTACCACGATGTCGCTCTAGCCCGGCCCCTGTAGACACGACCCCGGGGCCTGCTGTTAAAACCGCTGTAGAATCGAGAGCGGGAGCTGTTGTAGTTGGTGGTCCCTGCGCAGTAGCGGGCTTGTGGAAAACCCTAGTCTGTTGTGCTGATGCCTGTTCTGTTGGTTCGTTTTGGGATCACCTTGATTTGCCTTCCTCTAAATAGGGACTTATCTAAGGCCAAGGAAGTCCTCACTGACTCTGTCTGAGAACTCTATATATGCAAACCCTTTGGGATGACCACTAAATTTGTCACAGAGTATGGTACCACCGTTGACTGAACCACAGCCATGAAAGTGAGCTTCCAGCTCTTCTGCTATTGCACCAAGTCCACATTGCCAATATAGATGGAATGGGCATCAGTCTCCATCTTCTCAATGGACATGATCACTGGGCCAGCATTGCCTGGAGGTGGACTCATATTCATCTGCTTCTCTACCTCGTTCTGTAGTTCCTTTAGCTTTTCAGCTTCTTGCTCCAGGTCCTCAATGGCGCCGTCCCCCATCACCCTCCACCAGTCCCGGCTCCTCCTCCTCTTGACTGCCGGGGGCTCCCAAACCCTGCCCAGGGCCTGGAGCTCCCAGGGGGGCGCGGGACCAGGGTGGCTCCTCTTTAGGCTCGGGCCCCAGCAACAGCTCCTCAGGCTCTAGTTCCTCAGACTCCAGGCTGTTCCCATAGTCACCTGCGCCCCCCGGGGTCCCCTCCCCGGCATCCCCACCTACCCGGGCAGAGGATGGCGCTGGAGCCCCAACGGCCCCCAGCCCCCGCTGCTGCTGCTGCGGCCGACGCCACCATCACCACCTGTTATTCTTTATACTGCTCCGTTCTTTGATCAGGATTCTAGCAGTTAACTAGTATCTAACTAGAATTGGTAACTCTGCCAAAGTTAATAAATATTACAGAAACTACCAACTATCATTTAAGCTATTAACCTAAAAAACGAACGCATGCTACAATAGTTCCTTAAAACATTTACATAGAATATAGGCAAAGAAGCTTTTACAGAGTATCATCAAATAATTTCTCCCCTGTTGATGCAATAATACTGTAGTCCTGTCACTACCTGAAAATCCCAGTATCTTTGTAAAAACAGGTCCCATTCTCACATTTGTCTGAGTTCTCCAAGCAATTCTAATGTACAGCCTAATGTACGGCCTGATTTGGGGTTCACTTTTACTTGAAATTAAGATGTTCCCTTCAGGCACAATGTGTTAAATTAGTATACAGTGACAAGTGTAGAACAGCAAAAATGGTTTAAGATTGTGACTCCTTAACAGTAGCTGGGTACCACACACATCAGCTTCATAGTAAATTAAATACAGTTTTGACCTGTTTCTCAGCAGAACTGCATACCAGTTGTAGAACTTCTGCTGAGCTTACAAATAATCAAAATGCCAAGATTGCTGTGTGTTTATTTGCTCATCATTGCTGGGTGTTAAGATACATCAGATTTTCTAAACTTACCTAGGGTGAATCTGTTTTCTTTTGAGAGGGTATCACTTTTTTGCCCAGGCTGGAATGCAGTGGTGTGATCATGGCTCACTGCAACCTCTGCATCCATGGGACAAGCGATCCTCTAACCTCAGCCCACAAGTAGCGGGAATACAGGCACCCACTACCATGCCCAGCTAATTTTTTTTTTTTTAAGAGATGGAGTATCGGGCCAGGCGCGGTGGCTCAAGCCTGTAATCCCAGCACTTTGGGAGGCCAACGTGGGTGGATCACGAGGTCAAGAGATCGAGACCATCCTGGTCAACATGGTGAAACTCCGTCTCTACTAAAAATACAAAAAATTAGCTGGGCATGGTGGCGCGTGCCTGTAATCCCAGCTACTCAGGAGGCTGAGGCAGGAAAATTGCCTGAACCCAGGGGGCAGAGGTTGCGGTGAGCCGAATCGCGCCATTGCACTCCAGCCTGGGTAACGAGCGAAACTCCGTCTCAAAAAAAAAAAAAAAGAGAGAGAGAGAGAGAGAGAGATGGAGTATCACTATGTTGCCCAGGCTGGTCTCGAATTTCTGGGTTCAGGCAATCCACCCACCTCAGCCTCCCAAAGTGCTGAGATCGTAGGTATCCACTGCCTCCAGCCAGGGTGAATCATTATATGCTTCATGAAACTGTCAGAATTTCTCATATTAAGCTATGTTTTCATTTTTTTAACATGTTGCTTTATGCTTGAAATTTGAATAGAGTATGATTAATATGATAATACATATATTAGTAATTAAGGTTGGTCATTTTATTTTATTCAGACAACAGAAATCCCTAGTAACATATTTATTGCTTTAAGATAAAGCATCTGTCTACATCTAGTCTCTTTAATATGTTTACATTTAGGTGCCTGTGGTTCATGCTTGAAGTTTTAATGACAAAGAATGAAAACAATAGCCATGCCTTTATGAAGAAGATGGCAGAGAACATCAAGTTAACCAGAGATGCCCAGTCTCCAGATGAATCCAAGACAAATGAAGTAAGATGAGTGTTGGGCCAGTGGGTGTTAAGATGTAATAGAAAAATATATTGTCCCTCTTGGGGGTTTTTTTTGGCCATACATAAGAATTTAAATTTTAGAATGTTTATAAATTTGTAGTCAGTTTTTATTGCACTTCATTACAAGCGAATTTTATTATTTCAGGAATCTTTAGTACTCTGAAAAGACTTTATAACCTTAGAGAACAGGAGGATAAGAATTAAATATACAACTATGCTATCTTACAAACTTACAGTAAAAGTTACAGACAAATGCTTATTGTTCTTGTGTGATTTCTTTGGGTTGGTTCATTTGTTTGTTATTTTCTGTGCGTATTGGCATTCGTGTTAAATTCAGATAGAGGGATTTTTATTTTCCAGGAGGATACATAAACAATGCTGAACAGAAATACAGAATGTTCAAGGAATAATTTACACATTTTATGTTTAATTTACGCATTTGATGGAATTGGTAATGGTGATTATTTTGCAATACTAAAAGTTATATGTGATTCCTTTTTCTCCCTAGAAATTGTATACAGTATGTGATGTGGCTCTCTGTGTTATAAATAGTAAAAGTGCTTTGTGCAATGCAGATTCACCAAAGGACCCAGTCCTCCCAATGAAATTTTTTACACAACCTGAAAAGGTAATTTTCTTCCTCTCATTTTTCCTACCACACTAAACTGATTTAAATTTCTGTTATCATCAGCCATTGTGGCAAAGAGTGAATTTTCTTGACCACAGAGTAAAAAAATACCTCTGAGTTTATCAAAGAATGGGAGGTTATCTTACACAGACCTGAACATGATTCTGACTTGAATAGATGACTACAAATATTGTTGTTCTTATGTTTGTTCTAGGAATTTCTAGTGTTAAAAGGAGTCAGATTTTTAAAATTATTTTAATCTCATTTTATTGAAACATGATTAGTACTTTTGCAGACAAGAAAAATTTTAAATTTGGCACAGTATAAGCAGAGACGCTTTCCCTCTAAGCCTCAGTTTCTTCATCTTTATGATGCAGATGTTAATAACACACATGGACAAAATTACTGATATCTAGGTTTATATGCAGATTTTATCATATAAAAGCATTCAATAAAGGGTATTATTAATATACAGTGCATCTATTGTGCTTTCAGCAAATTGTTTCCCGTGTAGGTAAATTTTCCAGGTAACCCAGGTTCTGTAAGTTTTTCCAGCTAATTTTGATTTTTAAAAGCTTTTATTTTCTGCTTTATGTGGTATTTTAAACTTGCTTAACTTTCTCCTGAAAACACATACATATGCCTCAGTAATGACCCCCTTAGAGCAAGTGGTTCCCCACCTTTTTGACACATAGGACCAGTTTCGTGGAAGACAATTTTTCCACAGAGAAATTGAGGTGGGGAGATGGTTTAAGGATTAAACTGTCACCTCAGATGATCAGGCAGTTAGATTCTCATAAGGAACATGCAACCTAGATCCCTCGCATGCATAGTTCACAATATGGTTTGTGCTTCTATGAAAACCTAATGCTGCCACTCATCCTACAGGAGGCAGAGCTCAGGTAGTAATGCTTGCTCACCAGCCACTCATTACCTGCTATGCATCCCAGTTCCTAGCAGACCACAGACCCATATCGGTCTGTGGCTTGTGGATTGGAGACCCCGCCCTGGCTTAGAGGATTCTCCAAATGCACATTCCAAGACATAAATGAAGCTTCCTACTTTGAATGCCATTCTTTAATAAAAGTTTGCTAAAATGTAGTCTGATTTTTATTATTGATTTAGTATTGAACACTTAACACTGCCTTGCTTATGATAGAAATAATGAGAATTGCAAAAGTATGTCCTCTCTAAATTTTTTGAGTCTCACTTCATCACTCAGGCTGGAGTACAATGGCTTGATATCAGCCTATTGCAGCCTCCACCTCCCTGGCTCAGGCAGTCCTCCTACCTCAGCCTCTCAAGTAACTGTGACTACAGGCATATGCTACCACACCTGGCTAATTTTTTAATTTTTTGTAGAGACATGGTTTTGTCATGTTGGCCAGGCCTCAAACTCCTGGGCTCAAGCGATCCACCTACCTCCGGCATCTCAAAGTGCTAGGATTACAGGCATGAGCCACCATGCCCAGCCTGTAAAATATTCTTAAGTGAGCTGTTGAATTTAAATTTATCCTGTTGTTGACCCAGGACCATCGTGAATAGAATACTACCAGAATAGAATCTTCATAACAGTGGTGATACCACAATCAAGAATTAAATTGCTACTTGTTACAACACCTATCTGGCCTCATAGATACCAATTTTTGGTTTTTTTTTTTCTTTTAATATCTACAGTGTTACAGTATTTTAGTCTTCTTAATAGTAACTTAGGTTTTTCTTTTATCAGTATGGAACATTCCTCATTTATCTAATTTTAATATGCTTTTAATATGTTATTCATAAACACTAGAATACTAGGTTTATGAAGTTAGTGAACCTAGCGAAGCTATACTATATCTTTGTGAATGAAGTGAATGAACTTTGGTGTACAGGCTTCTTTATGTTTATTTTAGCTGCATAGAAGACTTTGTTCAAAAGAAATGATACAGTTTTGCCTAGCACACATAACAAAACTGTGATTTCCTCACAGGCACACTTTATTCTTTCCTACTTGTGTGAAGGTAAATTTAATAAAATAAAAAATACATTTTTTAATGGGATTACTTAAAACTTAATGAATTTCCTGAGTTTAATAGCCAGTTTTACTTCACTGATACATCATTGTGGTTTGTTTGCCATTTTCAGATATTAAGTAGGAAGAGGCATCAAGAGATCAAGTTTGAACTCCTAAGTTATATATAGATAAAACAAGTGCTATCATTGTCTACATTTGGTTTAAATGATATATTTACTCTTTAATATCACAGCTATCAAAGAGCATAATTCACTTAAGGTGTTTGTTTGAGACAGAGTCTCGCTCTGTCACCCAGGCTGGAATGCAGTGGTGCAATCTTGGCTCACTGCAACCTCCGCCTTTCGGGTTCAAGCGATTCTTCTGCCTCAGCCTCCTGAGTAGCTGGGATTACAGGCATGCACCACTACACCCGGCTAATTTTTGTATTTTTAGTAGAGACGGGGTTTCACCATGTTGGTCAGGCTGGTCTTGAACTGACCTCGTGATCCTCCTACCTAAGCCTCCCAAAGTGCTGAGATTACAGGTGTGAGCCACCACACCCAGCCCAGAAACAGCCTTTTTTTGAGATGGAGTTTTGCTCTTGTCGCCGAAGCTGGAGTGCAATAGCACAATCTAGGCTTGTTGCAACCTCTGCCTCCTGGGTCCAAGCGATTCTTCTGCCTCAGCCTCCTGAGTAGCTGGGATTACAGACGTGTGCCACCTGGCCCAGCTAATGTTGTATTTTTAGTAGAAACTGAGTTTCACCATGTTGGCCAGGCGAGTCTCGAACACCTGACCTAGTGATTTGCCCGCCTCAGCCTCCCAAAGTGCTGGGGTTACAGGTGTGAGCCACCTTGCCTGGCCCAAGTTTATGATGTAGTGGTGGAAGAAAAGACCAGTGAATAAATTTAATGAATAAACTGCATTGAACCATATGAAAACATAGGTGTGCTTTATTTGTGGTATGATTTAAGAAATTTACCTTTGATGTTTGCCTAAGTCTATGTACCATCACTTCAATTTGAAGCTAGACTTACAGTATGGCTCATCAAATGTTTTGGTTGTAAACCAGGTGTGGTGGCTCATGCCTGTAATCCTAGCACTTTGGGAGGCCGAGGTGGGCAGATCACAAGGTCAGCAGTCGAGACTGTCCTGGCCAACGTGGTGAAGCCCTGTCTCTACTAAAAATACAAAACATTAGCCAGGCCATGGTGGCAAAACAAAACAAAAACAAAAGCAAAACCAAAAAAAGTTTTGATTGTTTGATGAATTGATACATGTATTAGCACAAGTGTATTTATTATTGCAAGGCACAATACCTAAAAAGGCTTATTGGAACAATTAAAATACGCATGTTCCCTTTAATTGATATTTCTTTTTTTTTTAATAGGACTTCTGTAACGATAAGAGTTATATTTCAGAAGAGACAAGAGTACTTCTGTTAACAGGAAAGGTATTATATACTTTAATAATTTCAAGATCTTTGTTTCATGTGTATATTGCTTCTGCTATTCCTAGAAATACCTCGAAATGACCACTAGATTGTACAGTTCCTGATTCTTAGGGATCACATTGTGGATTTATAGCATCTAAAGCAGCCATGCTTTTAGACTTTTTCTGCCAGGAACCACTCTTCTGAATTGCCACTGTGTGTTCTCATCAGTAATGTTAAGCACAGTTTATTTACAATTCACAAAGCAGATTTTCCTGGGAAATGCTATAATCAAGTTAGGTATATAAGACAAAAGAAGTAATTTTATACTACTAATCAATTAGGCAATTTATTTTCTATATAAGTAATATGGTGACACCTAAAACAGCAAAAGGAAATTTAGTTTTTTTGTAAATAGTTCCTAAATTATTACTAGGTATATATCCAATGGTTTATAGAAAATTTATTATATATTTTGCTGTGTTTTAGGGGAACTTTTTATTTTGATTGAATAATAAAGGATAAATTAATATTATCTAGTTATTAAGTAGAGATATGTTTATGGCTTTTAATTGTATTAAGGCAGTCAAACACAATTTTACAGAATGAACTTTTTTTTTTTTTTTTGAGACAATCTCATTCTGTTGCCCAGCCTGGAGTACAGTGGTGCAATCTCAGCTCACTGCAATCTCTGCCTCCTAGGTTCAAGCAATTCTCATGCCTCAGCCTGCCAAGTAGCTGGGACTACAGGCTTATACCGCCATATCTGGCTAATTTTTGTATTTTTGGTAGATGTTGGAATTCACTATGTTGGCCAGACTGGTCTCCAACTTCTGGCTTCAAGTGATCCACTTCCCAAAGTGCTGGGATTTATAGGCAAGAGCCACTGTTCCTGGGCCACAATTAACATTTGTAATAAATTTAACTAATTAGCACTTAATATCTCTTATTTGTGTCTAAATTTACATGTATACATGGTAAGGTATGTGTGTGTGTATTTTTTTTTTTTTTTTTTTTTTAGCCAAAGCCTGCTGGTGTACTAGGTGCAGTAAACAAGCCTTTATCAGCAACAGGAAGGAAACCCTATGTTAGAAGCACTGGCACTGAGACTGGAAGCAATATTAATGTAAATTCAGAGCTGAACCCTTCAACCGGAAATCGATCAAGGCAACTTTCCTCTCCAATTATTTTGTTACTAGCACTCACTGCTTGGTTTATCTTTTATTCCTAAAGCACTGTCTCATAAAACAGTCTTCTGTTGTTAGAGATGTTTTTGTACAAAATAATACTGATGAATTTTTAGTGCTTTTTTTTTTAACTTTATGTAATTATTTTTTTTTTAAGAGACCAGGGTCTCATTTTGTCACTTAGGCTGGAGGGCAGTGGCAGGATCATAGCTCACTGCAGCCTCAGACTCCTGGGCTCTAAGGATCTTCTCACTTCAGCCTCCCAAGTAGCTGGGACTACAGACTTGTGCCACCAACCCCCAGTCGATTTTTTTTTTTTTTTTTTTTTTTTGTAAATATGGAGTTTTGCCATCTTCCCCAGGTCAGGCTCCCTCTCCTGGTCTCAAATGATCCACCCACTTCAGCCTCCCAACGTGCTGGGATTATAGGCACAAACCACTGCACCTAGGCACATTTTAGTATTTTCAGTGATGAAATCAAGAGTGTACTGCACACTTTGAAACTATTAATATAGCATTGTAAGTGTGTAGAAAAGTTAACAGAAAAAAATATAAAAATTAGTAATATAATTTACATCAAAATGCTTATTTTAAATTTTTTTGAGACAGTCTCACTCCATCTCTCAGGCTGGAGTGCAGTGACGTGATGTCAACTCATAGCAACCTCTACCTCCTGGTTTCATTCGATTCTCGCACCTCAGCTTCCTGAGTAACTGGGTTTACAGGCAGACACCACCACACCCAGGTAATTTCTGTATTTTTAGTAGAGATGGGGTGTCACCATGTTTGCCAGGCTGGTCTCTGCCCATCTTGTATTCCCGAAGTGCTGAGATTACAGTCATGAACCGTCACACCTGGCCCAAAATGTTTATTTTTTATAAGAAAATTCAACCCTTAGGAAAAATATGAAAGCATTACTTTTAAATAAATTGAAACACTTTTTAATCTTTTTTTTCCAAGACGGAGTCTTGCTTGCTCTGTTGCCCAGGCTAGAGTGTAGTGGCCTGATCTCAGCTCACCACAACCTCTGCCTTCGGGGTTCAGGGATTCTCCTGCCTCAGCCTCCCAAGCAGCTGGTATTACAGGTGCGCGCTACTATGTCCAGCTAATTTTTTTGTAGTTTTGGTAGAAATGGTGTTTCACCATGTTGGCCAGGCTGGTCTCGAACTCCTGGGCTTGTTATCCACCTGCCTCAGCCTCCCAAAGTGCTGGGATTACAGGCATGAGCCACCGCACCCAGACAATTTTTAATTTTTAACTCAAATTAGTATAACAGGGCTGGGTGCAGTCCCTTACAGCTGTGATCCCAGCGCTTTAGGAGGCCAAGGCAGGATTATCGCTTGAGGCCAGAACTTCAAGGCTAAAGTGAGCTATGATGGCCCCGCTACACTCCAGCCTGGGTGACAAAGCAAGATCCTGTCTCTTAAAAAAAAAGAAAAAAGAAAGAAAAGGCCAAGTATGATGGGTCATACTTGTAATCCCAGCATTTTGAGAGGCCAGGGCAGGACAATCACTGGAGCCCAGGAGTTCTAGACCAGCCTGGACAACATGGTGGCACACCCACCTACAGTCCCAGCTCCTTGGGAGCTCAGAAGGCAGAGGCAGGAGGATCACATGAGCGCAGGAGTTCTGGGCTGTATCAGCTATGATTATATAATTTCACTCCTACCTGAGTGACAGAATGAGACCCTGTTTATATTTATTTATATATATATATATATATATATATGTAGGTATGTATGTATATGTACATGTACATATGAAGACATTCTCCTGCTCTATTCCCTGTGAAAATAAAGGGAAAAAAAAAGTATGGGATAAGTTAACATTGTTCTAACATTGTCCATTTATAAAAATATTTCATGTTTAGGGCACTTGGTGGCTCATGCCTGTAATCCTATCACTTTGGGAGGCCAGGGTGAGCAGATCACCTGAGGTCAGGAGTTCGAGACCAGCCTGGCTAACATGGTGAAACCTCATTTCTACTAAAAATACAAAAAAATTAGCCAGGCATGGTGGCACTCACACCTGTAATCCCACATACTCTGGAGACTGAGGCACGAGAATTGCTTGACCCTGGGAGGTAGAGGTTACAATGAGCCAAGATCACACTATTGCACTCCAGCTTAGGCAACAAGAGTGAAACTCTGTCTCAAAGAAAAAAAATTTTCATGTTTATTTTAACATATTAAGTATTCAGTACATTAGCTACTGCATAAATGTTTATACCTGCAGTTTTTTTATAAAAATAATTATTTTGATACATAATAATTGTACATATTTATGGGGTACATGGGATAGTTTGGTACATGCCTACCATGTACAGTGATCAAATCAAGGTAATTAGGATATCCATCACATCAAACCTTCATCATTTCTGACCCTACTCTTAAGAACACTAAATATTATACTTACCTGGCGGGGAGATACCATGATCATGAAGGTGGTTTTCCCAGGGTGAGGCTTATCCATTGCACTCCGGATGTGCCGACCCCTGCGATTTCCCCAAATGTGGGAAACTCGACTGCATCATTTGCGGAAGAACACTAAATATTGTGGTTTTTGAAGATACTATTCTTACACATGATATCTTAAGAATAAACTCAACCCAGTGATATTTTAAACCATTTTTACCAAAAATGAAGCCCAAGATATAAATTCAGTTAATGTTTTTTTTTTCCTTTTCTTTTCTTTTTTTTCCCAACAGGCTCGTGTGGGTTTTAATATCTGTTTTAAAGACTAGTGGCCTCAAATACCTACCGAATAGCCTCTTTTGACAGCCCCCTTTTTTGTAGAACACGATGGAAATGACTGTACTATACTATGGTCTGTAGTTTTATTTTTGTTTTAGGATTTTCTATTCCCAAAAGATAAAGCTTACACTAGTTGTGGCATTTTGTTTCTTGACAGTCCTTTTGTAGAGTGGTGTTAGGCAGTCATTTCTGTCTTAATGTTATTAAGGCAAAATAGAAATTGATACCACTTGATCAAAGCTAAATGGAAAATGGTATTTTTAAAGCAGTAGTGTATAACTACAGAGTATCTGACTCTTGCTATCATTGCCTCATTTGGCAAGGTTTCAAAACCAGCCTTAGCCTGTTTTTATTGGTACTGTGAGATAGTGAACTTTCTCTTCATGGAAATATGAAGTCTTGGTTTACTTGTCTTAAACAGGGAACAGAGTTCAGAGGCAACAGAAACTGGAGTTAGTGAAAATGAAGAGAACCCTGTGAGGATTATTTCGGTCACACCTGTAAAGAATATTGACCAAGTAAAAAATAAGGTAAATTTTAAAATTTAACAAGTGGATTTTTTCCATGGAGATTATTACATTTTTTTGGTAAGGGTAAGAAATATACAGCCAACACATTAACAGACATGCTACATTTTAAACTTGTGTGTATTACCATCCCCTGCAATACTTTGTTTCACTTTCCATAAATCATTCTGCCTGCCTCTACCTACTTTGTTTTATAAGAATTTATGTGGTCTGGCTGGGCACAGTGGCTCACACCTATAATCCGAGCACTTTGGGAGACCAAGGCAGGCAAGTCACCTGAGGTCGGGAATTCAACACCAGCCTGGCCAACATGTGAAACTCCATCTCTACTAAAAATAAAAAAAAAATTAGCATCAGTGCCTATAATCCCAGCTACTCTGGAGGCTGAGGCAGGAGAATTGCTTGAGCCTGGCAGTGAGCCAACATTGCACCATTGCACTCCAGCTTGGATGACAGAGTGAGAATCTGCCTCAAAAAAAAAAAACTGTGGGCTGGGCATGGTGGCTCATGCCTGTAATCCCTGCACTTTGGGAGGCCAAGGCAGGTGGATCACGAGGTCAAGAGATTGAGACCATCCTGGGCAACATGGTGAAACCCTGTCTCTACTAAAAATACAAAAAATTAGCTGGGCATGGTGGCGCGTGCCTGTAATCCCAGCTACTCAGGAAGCTGAAGCAGGAGAATTGCCTGAACCCAGGAGGCAGAAGTTGCAGTGAGCCGAGATCGTGCCATTGTACTCCAGCCTGGGTAACTAGAGCAAAACTCTGTCTCAAAAAAAAAAAAAAAAATGTATGTCATCACCCATAATGGTATCCTTTTCCTATACTACCTGTTTCAACTCTTTAAAGAATAGGAATTGAGAGTTTTTTGAAATCTTTCAAAAGTTTGTTGATTCCCACCAGAGGTCAGCACTTTGCTTTGTTTCTGTTGCATTTTAAAAAGTTCATCTTGGCTGGGCACAGTAGCTCATGCCTATAATCAGCACTTTGGGAGGCTGAGGCAGGTGGATCACTTGAGGTCAGGAGTTCAAGACCAGCCTGGCCAATATGGTGAAACCCCGCTAATTTTTTTGTATTATTTAGTAGAGACCCCCATCTACTAAAAATACAGAAAAAACTAGCTGGGTGTGGTGGCACATGCCTGTAGTTCCAGCTACTCAGGAGGCTGAGGCAGGAGAATTGCTTGAACCCAGAAGGCAGAGATTGCAGTGGGCCGAGATCACTCCACTGCATTACAGCCTGGGTGACAGTTCAAGACTCCGTCTCAAGAAAAAAATTAAATAAATACAAAAAATTAGCCAGGCATAGTAGCACACACCGGCAATCCCAGCTACTGAGGAGGCTGAGACAGGAAAATTGCTTGAAGCTTCCAGGTGGAGATTGTAGTGAGCCAACATCACACCATTGCACTCCAGGCCCGACAACAGAGCGAGATTTGGACCAGCTGAGGTCAGGAGTTTAGACCAGCCTGGCCAACATGGTGAAACCCTGTCTCTACTAAAAATACAAAAAATTAGCTGAAGGTTGTGGCGCATGCATGCAGTCCCAGCTACTTGGGAAGCTAAGGCACCAGAATCCTTTGAACCCAGAAGGCAAAGGTTTGCAGTAAACCGAGGTCGCACCACTGCTCTCCAACCTGGGCAACAGAGTGACACCCTGTCCCCCCCCAAAAAAAAAAAAACCAATATTGTGAAACCCTGTCTCTACTAAAAATAGAAAAATTAGCCAGACATGGTGGTATGTGCCTGTAATCCCAGCTACTCAGGAGGATGAGACAGGAGAATTGCCTGAACACAGGAGACAGAGGTTGTAGTGAGCCAAGATTGCGCCATTGCACTCCAGCCTGGGTGATAGAGTGAGACTCTGTCTCAAAAAGTTAATATTTTATGATTTAGCTTTTTGATACGTGTGTGAGTTTTTATTTAACAGCTGTATTCTTCATTGTCAATTTTTTTTTCTTTTTTTTTGAGATGAAGTTTCGCCCTGTCACCCAGGCTGGAGTGCCTTGACGCAATCTTGGTTTACTGCACCAGGGTTGTTCGAGTGATTCCGCCTCCTGGGTTGTCCAAGTGATTCTCCGGCCTCAGCCTCCCAAGTAGCTGAGATTATAGGCATAGGCCACCACAATAAGCGAATTTTTCTATTTTTAGTAGAGATGGGATTTTCCCACATTGGCCAGGCTGGTTTTGCATGCCTGACCTCAGATGATCCACCCATCTCAGCCTCCCAAAGTGCTGGGATTAAGGCATGAGCCACCTCGTCCGTCTTAATGGTTGATCTTTAAACTACCCGATTTTGTTTTGTTTTCAAATAGGATCTCACCATGCCCAACCCAGTTTTCTTAACAATTTTTAGCAGGAGAGAAATGAATGTTGCATAACTAAGAGGAGCATGACACAGACCTGACTTTTGCCACTTGGCTCTGCCACACACTGACTATGTGTTGACTTGAGTGGGTTGTTTGACTTTTCTGGTCTTCTGTTCAACTGTTAAATTAAATTGATAATTTATCTCAGTAGGAATGGCTTGAAGATAACTATTATTTTTTTCCCCACATAATCATATTCTTGAAATGCTTATCTTTTAATTTATGGTGGTCATCAAATAGATTTAGATATTACGCTCGGGTACATGAAATATACTAGGATTGTGCAGTTACACCACAGTAGCCTAACTTTTCCTAGCCAAACTCTCATTTTCTGAACTCAGCTGAATGAGGGTTTTTTTTAGATCAGTCTCTTGCTTATCTAAACTCTTTCTGCTTGGTGTTTGAAACACACCATCTCAGTGGATTTAGGTTACACTTTACTACTTGTTATCAAAACTCTTGGAATCCAGGAATCAATAGATTAGAATATTGTGGGATCCTTGTGTAGAAGTCAGCAGTCTTGACTTAAACAAACTTAGGTACAAAAATGCATATTGCCATAGACATTCACTTACATTATATACTTAACAATGCTTACTAAAGGGTGGTACATTTGCAAAGGCATAAGTGTTTAGTATAACCAGCATCTGTTACTCTTACAGCCTTTTCCTAAAAGTATATATAATTTTGAAATTGGAAATTGAAATTTTAATTTCTGTTTTATCCAGACCTTACTTTCAGCTTGATTTGTAATATAATATTGCTCCAGACCCTTATTTCAACTTTTTTTTTTTTTTTTTTTTTTTTTTTTTTTGAGACAGTCTCACTCTGTGTCCCAGGCTGGAGTACCGTGGCATGTTCTGAGCTCACTGCAGCCTCCACCTCCCAGATTCAAGCAGTTCTCCTGCCTCAGCCTCCTGAGTAGCTGGGATTACAGGCACCCATCACCACACTAATTTTTATATTTTTAGTAGAGACAAGGTTTCACCACGTTGGCCAGGCTAGTCTCAAGCTCTCCTAACCTCAGGTGATCTGCCTGCCTCAGTCTCCTAAAGTGCTGGGATTACAGGCATGAGCCACTGCACCCAGCCCTCTTTTTTTCTTTTTAAACAGTTTAATCTTATTTTCACATTTGTATACATCTATATTTTCTGCTATTATGGTGTCGAAGTAACTAATATTTATAAATTTATTGTGTGTCAAATAATATATATACAAGGACACTTACTGGTACTTTTCTTTCTGTGGGTTGAGTTTCTCAGAGTAGGATTAATAGATAAAAGGATACATGCATTAGAGCTTTTAGATATTTCTATATTGGTTTCATGAGAGAGTCCAACACCTGACATTTCTAATAGCAGGGTATGAGAGCACTTTCTTCTCTACATACCAACAACAGCATGTTTTACAGTTCATTTGAATTTTTTTCTGTCTCCGCTTACCAAATCTAATGCCTATTTTAATTTGCATTTCTGTGACTGCCAGTACGTTTGTTGACCATTTAGATGTAAATTTACCATCTTCTGTAAATTTCCTATTCATATTTTGCCCTTCAAACTTCTTATCTTCGTCACATCTAACTCAGCTTTTTTTTTTTTTTTTGAGACGGAGTTTCGATCGTTACCCAGGCTGGAGTGCAATGGCGCGATCTCGGCTCAACACAACCTCCATCTCCTGGGTTCAGGCAATTCTCCTGCCTCAGCCTCCTGAGTAGCTGGGATTACAGGCGTGCGCCACCATGCCCAGCTAATTTTTTGTATTTTGGTAGAGACAGGGTTTCACCATGTTAACCAGGATGGTCTCCATCTCTTGACCTCATGATCCACCCCCCTCAGCCTCCCAAAGTGATGGGATTACAGGCGTGAGCCACCGCGCCCAGCACTTTTTTTTTCTTTTGAGACAGATTTTTGGATCTGTCATCCAGGCAGGAGTGCAGTGGTACAATCTTGACCCACTGCAACCTCCGTCTCCCAGGTTCAAGTGATTCTTCTGCCTCAGCCTCCCAAATAGCTGGGATTATAGGTGCCTGCCACCATGCCCGGGTACTTGTGTGTGTGTGTGTGTGTGTGTGTTTAGTATAGATGGGGTTTCACCATGTTGGCCAGGCTGGTCTTGAACACTTCACCTCAGGTGATCTGCCCACCACAGCTTCCCAAAGTGCTGGGATTACAGGCGTGAGCCACCATGCCAAGCTAGTGTTTACTTTTTAAAAAATCAGTTACCAGCCAGGCGTGGTGGCTTACACCTATAGTCTCAGCACTTTGGGAGGCCAGTGTGGATGCATCACCTGAGGTCAGGAGTTCAAGACCAGCCTGGCCAGCATGGCAAAACCCTGTCCCTACTAAATACAAAAATTAGCTGGGCATGGGGTGGTATGTTCCTGTAATCCTAGCTCCTGGCAGGGCTGAGACAGGATGGTTGCTTGAACCTGGGAGGCAGAGGTCTCAGTGAGTCGAGATCGTGCCACTGCACTCCAGACTGAGCAACATAGCAAGATTCCATCTCAAAAAATAAAATAAAAAAGATCAGTTACCTACATGCTAACCTATGTGAGGAGCCTCATGTAGGTTAGTTTTGTTCCTCAATCTATGCCTAAGAACCACTACACCTATTAAACATTCAGTTGAACAAGTGGTTCCTACTCCAGGTTTTAATACTTGGTCATGTTGTTGATCCATCCTGATAGGTCCAGTAGTCGCCCTCATTGCCCAAGATGACTTTGCATATTTCTTTTCTGATTCCTTGTGTATTGTTTTCACTGTTCGGTTCCTGCAGGCCATCTTACACTTGCTCTATCATAGATTATCTGTTCTCTGAAGTGAGGCTTAACATTAAAGTAGACTCCACAGCTAGGCATGGTGACTCACGCCTGTAATCTCAGCACTTTGGGAGGCCAAGGTGGGCGGATCATCTGAGTTCAGGAGTTCGAGACCATCCTGACCAACATGGTGAAACCCCATCTCTACTAAAAGTACAAAATTAGCCAGGTGTGTGGCTTATGTCTATAATCCCAGCTACTCAGGACGCTAAGGCTAGAGAATTGCTTGAACCCAGGTGGCGGAAGTTGCAGTGAGCCGAGATTGTGCCACTACACTCCAGCCTGGGGGACAGAGCAAGACTTCATCTCAAAAAAAAAAAAAATAAAGGTAGACTCTACGATGGTAATGGTAGCTCATGCCTATAATCCTAACACACTGCAAAGGCTGAGGCAGGTGGATTGCTTGAATCCAGGTGTTTCAGAACAACCTGGGCAACATGGTGAAACCCTGACTCTACAAAAAATACAAAACTTTGCTGAGCATGGTGGTTTATGCCTATAGTCCCAGCTGCTCGAGAGGCCAAGGTGGGAGAATGACCTTAGCTGCAGTGAGCTGAGATCGTGCCACTGCACTTCGGACACCAGAGTGAGGTCCTGTCTCAAAAAAAAAAATTGTTTTTAAAGTAAAACACTGACGTTTGGGTTTTTTCACTTAAATTGCTACTCCTGGAAACTTGAACTAAATTTTCTTGAGACATGAAGATTTGAAATTTATTTTTCCTCATCTTTCTGGGAATATTTTCTGGGGAAAATGAAAATTAATTTAAAAGATGTAGTCTTTTTTTTTTATGGAAACAGTCTTGCTCTGTTGCCAGGCTGGAGCACAGTGGCACAATCTTGGCTCACTGCAACCTCTGCCTCCCGGGTTCAAGCAATTCTTCCGCCTCAGCCTCCCACGTAGCTGGGACTAGAGGTGCCTGCCAAACACCCAGCTAATTTTGTGTATTTTTTAGTAGAGACGGGGTTTCACCATGTTGGCCAGGATGGTCTCAATCTCTTGACCTTGTGATCCGCCCGTCTCGGCCTCCCAAAGTGCTGGGATTACAGGCATGAGCCACCGCGCCTGACCAACTCTAATTTTTTTGATGATTGTATTTCTCTTTAATTGGTTAGAATTATGTCAGTAAAAGCACCAGCAGAAAGACAGTAAAAGATGTAATTTCTGTAGGGTTTTTGTTGTTGTTGTTGTTGTTGTTTTGAAATAGAGTCTTGCTCTGTCACCCAGGCTGGAGTACAATAGCATGTTCTCAGCTCACTGCAGCTAAGAATGGGATGACAAGTTAAAGAACTTCATGTTCCAGAACTACAAAGATTATTATACTTAGATATGCTCATTAATAGCATATAGAATTCTGAAAATACTCTTTAGAGCATACCATCAATAAAACAAACCTTTCATTTGGATGGAGTATAACAGCAAAACCAAGTAGATTTTCTTTATTTTACAAGTACTACTTGTGCTTTATGTTTTTATTATTGCAATTTTTTTTTGAGACGGAATTTCACTCTTGTGGCCTGTTCTAGAATACAATGTTGTGATATCAGTTCACTGTAACCTCCACCTACCAGGTTCAAGTGATTCTCCTGCCTCAGACTCCCAAGCAGCTGGGATTAGAGGCATGCGCCACCACGCCCAACTAATTTAATATTTTTAGTAGAGATGGGGTTTCTCCATGTTGGTCAGGCTGCTCTTGAAGTTTCAACCTCAGGTGATTCCCCCGCCTCCTTGGCCTCCCAAAGTGTTGGGATTACAGGCATGAGCCACTGCACCCAGCCTGCAATTACTACTTTGAGATAAGATCTCCCTCTGTCACCCAGGCTGAAGTGCAGTGGCATCATCTCTGCTCATTGCAGCCTCAACCTCCCAGGGTTAAGCAGTCCTCCCACTTCAGCCTCCCAAGTAGCTGGGACTACAGGCATGAGCCACCATGCTCAGCTAATTTTTTAAATTATTTGTAGAGATGGGGTCTCACTATGTTGACAGGGATGGTGTGAAACTCCTGGGCTCAAGCAAGGCTCCCACTTATGTCCTCGAATCCAGACTCCCTTAAAATACTTTAAAAACATTCTTCTCTAATAGAGTTCATTAATATTTAAGGAATTTGTGTTTATAGAATTGTTTTGTGCATTTTTAGGAAATTAATTCTGATCAGGCTACCCAGGGCAACATCAGCAGTGACCGAGGAAAGAAAAGAACAGTAACAGCAGCTGGTACAGAAAATATCCAACAAACAACAGATGAGAAAGTAGACGAATCGGGACCGCCTGCCCCTTCCAAACCCAGGAGAGGACGTCGACCCAAGTCAGAATCTCAGGGCAATGCAACCAAAAATGATGATCTAAATAAACCTATTAACAAGGGAAGGAAAAGAGCTGCAGTGGGTCAGGAGAGCCCTGGGGGTTTGGAAGCAGGTAATGCCAAAGCACCCAAACTGCAAGATGTAGCCAAAAAGGCAGCACCAGCAGAAAGACAGATTGACTTACAAAGGTAATGTATGCAATTCTTCCTGAAGTATGAATTTAGACATTGTGTTTTATTCTTAGTATATTTTTAGTGCCAGTTACCCCAACACCTAAGCATTTCAGAGTGAAACCTGCATTTTCTTTTTCTGGGTAAGTTTATAATAGTATCTGTTTATTATCTCATAACCTCCACTTTTAAGGCAGGAATTTGAAGAAAGATCTTTTTTTCTTTGTGTAATTTTTATTTAGAATATCGTATTTTTATATTTTTATTAACAAGACAGATATTAATCTTTTGCTTAGTGCCTTTCAAGTGGTTGCAGAATTTTACATAAAATAAGGGCTACCTTTTGGATATAGGCAGGGTCTCATAATGGAGAAAACAGTCACAAAATGTGAATTGCTAATAAGTCCCACTCTTTAATTCTTCGTGTTATAGTTAATTCTAACACAGGTCGGCCAGGCGCGGTGGCTCACGCCTGTAATCCCAGCACTTTGGGAGGCCGAGGCGGGTGGATCACGAGGTCAAGAGATCGAGACCATCCTGGTCAACATGGTGAAACACTGTTTCTACTAAAAATACAAAAAAAAAAAAATTAGCTGAGCATGGTGGCACGTGCCTGTAATCCCAGCTACTCAGGAGGCTGAGGCAGGAGAATTGCCTGAACCCAGGAGGCGGAGGTTGCAGTGAGCCAAGATCGTGCCATTGCACTCCAGCCTGGGTAATGAGCAAAACTCTGTCTCAAAAAAAAAAAAAAAAAAAAAAAAATTCTGACACAGGTCAACAACTTACATCTTCCCCACCCTGCCCAGAGAAAAACAGCTTACCAGCTAGCTGTTTATCTTTGATCATTCTTGGGCTGAGATTTCAGACTTTTCCTGCTGGAAATCTAGAAGGTGGCTTCTTTCACCTTGGCCTTAAAACTTAACTCGTTCTCCTTTTTCCTTACATAGCTAACTAATTTACCCCTCAATTAGACTGTAGGCATTTGAGTTCCTTCTAGGAAAGCATCCCAGCTTTGATCAGCTCAGGATGCCCCACTATCCTGCTTCAGTATTTTTATAAAATGCAATGTCCAGCCAGGCACAGTGGCTCATGCCTGTAATCCCAGCACTTTGGGAGGCCGAGATAGGTGGATCATCTAAATTCCTGAGTTTGAGACCAGCCTGGCCAACATGGTGGGTGACACCCCATCTCTACTAAAAACACAAAAATTAGCCAGTTGTGGGGTGGGCACTTGTAATCATAGCTACTCAGGAGGCTGAGATAGGAGAATCACTTGAGCCCAGGAGTCAGAGGTTACAGTGAGCAGAGACTGCACCATTACACACTGCATCCTTGGCAACAGGGTTAGACTCTACCTCTTCAAAAAAGAAAAAAACCAAAAAAATTAACATTATTTATGATATTCTGAAATTTGGGCATATTAAATTTCCATATATTCTAAGGGCCCTCTGGATACCTTTCATAATCTATCATAGCATCTGATCCAGAAGGCTCAAACCTGATCTGAGTACTACTAGCATGTTACTCCTACTCACTTCTACTTTTATTAACTAATAAGTGTAGTAATGAAAGCTAGTATTAGGGGCAAATTTTGCATGACTTTCTTCTCAAACCTGGACCTTTATTGAGCCTCTGCCTCCTTTATTCATTAGTATGACAGTATGTATCTTAAAGGGTTAGTCTAAGAATTAAATGGATCAGTAAATATAAAGAAAGCACCTAGCCAAGTGCCTAGTACAAATAAATGCCCAGCTGTTATTGTTAGTATTGTTTTGAATTATAGTTTTCTTACCCCTTTACATACATTTTCAGTCATACAAAAGTTGAATGTTTCCCTGGAGATTGCGAAAGTTCTCTAAACGGTTTTAAGAGATCTATTGTTGTCTTCACCTACATAAAAAAGTACTAATCATCACACACAGGCTACCTAAGCCACCTGATCATGCCTCCCATCAGCTGTCCCTTTACCATCTAACTAAAATATACAGATACGGCTGGTCCGAAGGTAGTGAGTCATCTCAATTGCTTGTTCACGGTCAGTTAGATTGAACTACTTGTTCTACTCTTTTCCCCCTTTCACTATTGCACTTGACTAGTCTTAAAAAAATAAAAACAAAAAAATACAGATACATACTTAAACCCTGAAAACATTTTCAGTAGCAGTTGGACCTTCTCTCATTTACAGCATTGTAAAATTCATTGCTTTGCTTTTAGCTACACTGTGTGCCCCAGTATCATCACACAGTACAGACAACAGACATATGCCGGAGTAAAAATGGCATTTGGCCTTCTCTTTCCAGAGTGAAAAGGCACATTTGAGATCATCCATATGTTAATTTTGAGATCAATGGGCAGTATGTTATTCAGAATACAGAATTCTGTGATGATTTTTTAGTCTCAGTGACAATAGGTGGTTACATTAAATTATGGCTGGATGTGGTGGCTTACACCTATAATCTCAGCATTTTGAGAGGCCAAGGTGGGTGGATGGATCATTGAAGGTCAGAAGATCAGCCTGACCAACATGGTGAAATCCTGTCTCTACTAAAAATACAAAAAATTAGCCGCCTTTGGTGGCGCACACCTGTAATCTCAGCTACCCAGGAGGTGGAGGTTGCAGTAGCAGAGATTGTGCCACTGCACTCCAGTCTGGATGACAGAGAGAGACTCCTTCCCAAAAATAAAAATAAAAAATGAAATACGAAATTAGCCAGGCATAATGTTGTGTGCCTGTACTCAGGGTGCTGAGGTGGGAGGATTGCTTGAGCCTGGGGCTGAGGGTAGCGGGAATAGACTTTAATGAATATGGAGTTTCAGTTTGGGAAGGTGAAAAAGTTCTAGAGATGGATGGTGGTAATGATTGTACACAATACAAATAATTGGGCACTTCAAAAAGGTTATGGAAAGCTGGAGTTAAAAGATAAAAATATAGGCCAGGTGTGGTGGCTCATACCTGTAATCCCAGCACTTAGGGAGGCCAAGGCGAGCGGATCACTTGAGGTCAACAGTTCAAGACCAACCTGACCAACATGGAGAAACCCCGTCTCTACTAAAAATACAAAAATTGGCCGGGTATGGTGGCACATGTAATCTCAGCTACTTGGCAGGCAAATCACTGGAACCCAGGAAATGAAGGTTGCAGTGACCCAAGGTCACGCCATTGCACTCCAGCCTGGGCAATAAGAGCAAGACTTTGGGGGTAAAAAAAGATATAAACTTTATCTCTCAACATAAAGTCCATCAACCTCAAGACACTTTTATAAGCAAGGATAGAAGCCATTTAGCCCATCCCTAAAGAACAGGGTTTTGGGAATTTATTACATTATTGACCAAAGAAAAACTGGCACTCTTTAAAGATTTTTTAAGATTAAGAAACAAAAAGAGGCCAGGCGTGGGGGCTCACGCCTGTAATTTCAACACTTTGGGATGCCAAGGCGGGTAGATCACCTGAGGTCAGGCGTTCAAGACCAGCCTGGCCAACGTGGTGAAACCCTGTCTTTATTAAAGAAAAAAAAAGAAAGAAACAAAAAAGTCAGAAGGAGCCAAACCAGTACTATAAGGTGGATGCCTAATGATTTCCCATGGAAACTCTTGCAGAATTACCCTTGTCTGATGAGACAAATGAGCAAGAGCATTGTCATGGTAGAGGAAGACTCTCTAGTGAAGCTTTCCCAGGCATTTTTCTGCTAAAGCTCTGACTTTGTGAGAACACTCATAAGCAGACATTATCATTTGTTGGCTTTCCAGAAACTCAACAAGCAAAAATACCTTGAGCATCCCAAAAAGCCGTTGGCATGATCTTTACCCTTGACCTTTAACTGGACCACTTGACCACTTTCACCTCTTAGTACCCTTTTTTCAGGGGTGTGAGGAGACAATATCTGCTCTGTCACCCAGGCTAGAGTGCATCAGCAAAGTCTTGGCCTCACTGCAGCCTCAACCTCCCTAGAAGCAGGGACTATAGCCACACACCACCATGCCCAGCTAAATTACTTGGACTGTATTTTTGTCTTCAGGATTGGACTGGTAAAGCCGTGTTTCAGTTCCCATTACAATTCTTTGAAACAAGTGCTTCAGGACCTTGATCCCACTTGTTTAGACTTGCCATCAAAAGCTCTGCTCTTGTCTGCTGCTGATCTGGGTGCAAAGGTTTTGACACCCATTGAGTGGAAAGTTTGCTCAACTTTAATTTTTCAGTCACAATTTTGTAACCGAGGCTAGAGTGCATCAGCACAGTCTTGGCCTCACTGCAGCCTCAACCTCCGTAGAAGCTGGGACTACAGGCACACATCACCATGCCCAGCTAAATTACTTGGATTGTATTTTGTCTTCAGGATTGGACTGGTAAAGCCGTGTTTATTTGAAATAATCACAATTTAAATGAGACCAGATCATCTTTTTCACCTCTTTTGGTAGTACATGCAAACAAAATCCTTGCATTTTAGGGATAAAGAGGAAAACCGAGACAGATCAGATGTTCTTGAAAGTGGCATACTTGAAGTGAATGTAACACCCAATGCCAAGAACAAGACTGGGGTGAAAATTAGTTCACATGGGCTGGCACTGTGGCTCATGCCTGTAATCCCACCACTTTGGGAGGCCTTGGTGAGCAGATCACTTGAGGTCAGGAGTTTGAGGCCAGCCTGGCCAATGTGGTGAAATGCTGTTTCTACTAAAAATACAAAAATCAGCTGGGCGTGGTGGCACACACCTGTAATTTCAGCTACTCAAGAGGCTGAGGCAGGAGAACCACTTAAACCTGGGAGGCAGAGGTTGCAGTGAGCCAAGATCAGGCCAGTACACTCCAGCCTGGGCAACAGAGTGAGACTATGTCTCAAAATAATAAAAATAACAAATATTAGTTCAAATATGTGGTACCACAGCAAGACCCTGTCTCTAACCCAAAAATGTAAAAAGAAATTAGCCAAGCATGGTGTATTCATCTGTGGTCTCAGCTACTTGGGAGACTGGGGGAGGATTGTTTGAGCCTCAGTGTTGATAGTTCTAGTGGGCTATGATGGTGCCACTGTACTCCAGCCTGAGTGATGGGTGTCTGGCATCTGTATTAGTAGTAATACTAGAAAATGTTTTATGAGCAGATATCTGACCTGCCAACATCCATTATGAAGCAAGTACCACACTGTATTGACAGTAAGGAAAAGAAGACCTGGAAGGACCTTTCTCAGGTTACTTGGCTAGTACTATGCAGGGCATGGCTTAAGATCCCAGCCTGTCACTTATTATCTGCCTCATGATAGTGCTCACAGTGGCAGTTGCAGCTATGTTTCTCCTCTAATTTATTAATTTATGTAGTATTTTGAATTTTTTTTTTCTTTTTGAGACAAGAGTCTCACTCTGTCACCCAGGCTGGAGTGTAGTGGTGTGATCTTGGCTCACTGCATCCTCCTCCTCCTCCTGCAGATTCAAGTCATTTTTCTGCCTCAGACTCCAGAGTAGCTGGAACTACAGGTGTGTGCCACTACACCCAGCCAATTGTATTTTTAGTAGAGACGGGGTTTCACCATGTTGCCTAGGCTGGTCTCGAACTCCTGAGCTCAGGCAATCCACCCATCTGGGCCTCCCAAAGTGCTGAGAATACAGCATGAACCCCACCACGCTCAGCCTGAAACACTTTTAAACTGTGACCATTTCGAACTCTTTTTCTTAATGTGTAAGAGGAGACATGTTAGTGTGTATTTACTGCTAAAATACAAAATAAACACATTAAAACAGAAGTTTATTGATAGTAATTCAGCCGATGTTTTGACTGTCCTTCAGTTGAATGGTCAGAATCCTGAAAGTACTGTTTGTATTTCATGTGGAACTGTAGCTTCCACCTTGCTACAAGATTCTAAACATAGCTCTCATTAACTGTAAGTATTCCCTATGAGTGATTTGACATTCCACCTGCATTTTCCAGAGACCTGATTGACAATCATCCTGTTAAGGTTATATCATTACAGTTTCAACCAACTAACTGGTAAGAGAAGACAGAGAAGTGCCAAACCTGAGAGCAATCAAACACATCGCTGAGCTACAGATGAACCCAGAGTGATAGAATCAGCTCTCCTTAGAGGTTACATTGTGGAGCCTTACCTGGATTGCTGCACTAAGTTCAGCCCTGGGTTTTATTTAATAAATAAGGCCTGGCACCCTTGTGCTTCTCTGTGGCCCTGCATTCTAACTTCAGATGCCCAATTTATCAGTCTTTTCTGTTACCTTGCATGATTCTCCACACCTTTCACTTGCTTGAGGCCCTAGTATATGCCAACTACAGTTTACACTTTGGGTTCATTACTTCATTTCATCTTCAGCTCTTTTGGATAGATTTCTGATGTTTTAAGCTTCTAGAGCCTTTTTTTTTTTTTTTTTTTTTTTTTGGAAACAGAGTCTTACTCTGTTACCTAGGCTGGAATGTAGTGGTGCAATCCCAGCTCACTGCAACCCCTGCCTCCTGGATTCAAGCAATTCTTCTTCCTCAGCCTCCCAAATAGCTGGGATTACAGTCACATGCCACCACACCTGGATAATTTTTGTGTTTTTCATAGAGACAGGTTTACTATGTTGGCCTGGCTGGTCTCGAACTCCTGACCTCGTGATCTGCCCACCTCGGCCTCCCAAAATGCTGAGATTACAGGTGTGAGCCACCACGCCCAGCCGTTTTTTTTCCTTTTGAGACAGAGTTTCACTGTTATGCCCAGGCTGGTGTGTAATGGTGAGATCTCAGCTCACTGCAACCTCCATCTCCTGGGTTCAAGCAATTCTCCTGCCTCAGCCTCCAGAGTAGCTGGGACTACAGGCACACATCACCATACCCAGCTAATTTTGTATTTTTAGTAGAGATGGGGTTTCTCCATGTTGTTCAGGTTGGTCTCGAACTCCTGACCTCAGGTGATCCGCCTGCCTTGGCCTCCCAAAGTGCTGGAATTACAGGCATGAGCCACCACACCTGACCTCTAGAGCCATTTTAATACCACAGACATAACTTCTAACGTGGGGCCAGTGCTAACCCTTGCAGAATTCCTTTTACTAGGTTTTTACTCATAAGATTAGGTCAATAATGATTAGTTTTACCTTGATTTCTACCCAAATGGTGTATTATTGGTTCGGGGATATTTTCTTCCACCAAAACAGAGAGGATATGCAAAAAGCTACTGGCCTCAGTTTTATCTGGGAGTTGATGCTGGGGATTTTAACTTGTAAAGTTAACATTAGAATTTTTAGATCCCTTTGGATTTTTGTGGTAAATACATTCCCTCAGCTACTTGCATTTATGTTGGTTTCACTGAGTATTCCTGTTTATGTTTTGGGCTCCATTTGGACTTACTCCTTTTGAGAAAATTCCTTCAGTTCACCCAATAAAATCAATAAAAAGCGATTTGCACTGTGGTCAGGAGACAGTATTAGATGGACATTAGTATCAGCTCTCTGAGTTTGGGATGAAGGAATGATCATCATTTTAGTAGTTTAGTTCACTTGTTTTGCTTCTTTGTGTTAAGGCTGTCATTCAAAGGGAAAACAGTTCCCAATGTTTTGAATTGAAAATATGTTCTTAGGGCCAGGTGCGGTGGCTCACGCCTATAATCCCAGCACTTTGGGAGGCCGAGGTGGGTGGATCACGAGGTCAGGAGATTGAGACCATCCTGGTCAACATTGTGAAACCCTGTCTCTACTAAAAATACAAAAATTCGCTGGGCATGGTGGTGCACACCTGTAGTCCCAGCTACTCAGGAGGCAGGAGAATTGCTTAAACTCAGGAGGCGGAGGTTGCAGTGAGCCAAGATCGCACCATTGCACTCCAGCCTGGGTAACAAGAGCAAAACTCCGTCTCAAAAGAAAATATGTTCTTAGTAGATTTGCTGATTCGTCAGTATGTTTTGCTTACACTTAAGGCCAAATTTTTCCTTGAAGATGAGTTTGTTAATAAACATCAATGGAAAAACAGCCTCAACTTTGAGACTTCCGAAGAATCTGATTTTTTTTTTTTTTGAGACTGAGTTTCGCTGTTGTTACCCAGACTGGAGTGCAATGGCACGATCTCGGCTCACCACAACCTCCGCCTCCTGGGTTCAAGCAATTCTCCTGCCTCAGCCTCCCGAGTAGCTGGGACTACAGGTGCACACCACTGTGCCCAGCTAATTTTTGTATTTTTAGTAGAGACGGGGTTTCATCTTGTTGACCAGGATGGTCTCGATCTCTTGACCTTGTGATCCACCCACCTCGGCCTCCCAAAGTGCTGGGATTATAGGCGTGAGCCACCATGCTCGGCCAAGAATCTGAATTTAAAGAGAGTATCTGTAGGATAGCAGACTATGAGTTTCTAGTTTTCGGATTAACATGGTTTGTTTAGCATGCTTAGTGTGGGAGTGTTCAAGGATCTTAGAATTTGTTTTTCTTAAGCAAAGAAGTTACGGAGTTTTTGTCTCATTTGTATATTGAGGTTTCCTCCCAGGTGGGTTCATATCTTAAAATTAAAGTAACCCTTAAGCATATATCCTCTGTGTATCTTCATGTGTTAAAACAGCTACATTTTAGTTTAATATGAATGTTTTTTTCAGTAACAAGTGAATTTTTCTCAAAATAACATGAAATTTTTCAGAATCCAAGTGCTTGCAGTGATGGCAGTTCATCTTGGTACATAGAATCAAGTCCAGGAGATTCTTCCAGTGACCTGGGTCTTTCAAAAGTCTGAGAGAGCAGCCCAGGAGATACAGAGGACTCAGGGCTGGGAAAGGGAAGCTTCCTGAAGGTGTAGCAGCAGCTTGTAAAGAATTCTTCAATAGCATATTGTTAAAATTGCTTCAAATAGTATAACTAATTAATAGTCCCTGTAAGAACTGTAATAATCACTTAGATTTTTTGGCATTGTTACCTTCATAGAATGTGTATGTAGTAGAGGAGTTTGGAAATATATCTTTCTTTCTCTTCCAGATGTAAAATTGTTGAAAAGGAGACAGTCTTACTACTAATCAGGCTGATTAAAAGTGTAGAGTGAATTAGGCAAGTTGGGCTGCTAAGGCAACCTTGCCTCTGAATTGAACAGCCACAGACAAACCAGAATGCCCCTCTCAGGGCAAAGGAACAAATCTAAATGAAGCCAAACCCAACATGCTCCTTTATTTTCCCCATTTCATCTGTGAGATGAGTTCCTCCTCCTCCCAAAGAGGAGTAGGTGAGAGGAGGTGAGAAAGAGGTCCTGTCCCATGCTCCCAGGGATGAGAATTTTCCTTCCTTTTAGGGAAATGGGATGAATGGAGAATTCCTCCTTATCTCTTTAAAAAAAAAAAAAAAGCTAATTTTTCCTCCTGGTTTTATTGGGGCTTACTTAGTATGCTAAAATGTATATGTTTATCCAGTTCAGGAGTTGAAAGTTGTTTTCCTGCTTACAAATTCATTTTGCCATAGTGTCCTGTAATTTTTCTTCCATAATATTTTTTTAAATATTAATTAAAAGCTATAGTTATTTCAAATAAATAGTAAATAGGGCATTGGATAGCAGTACTAAATCATTGAAAACAAAAACTTTATTGGTGTTTTGTTTTTATATACTTTAGGGAAAGGCTTTTTAAACCAAATTTTAGGAGAAAAAAAAATGAAAAATCTTTTTTTAAGATTTTAGATGACATGCCAGGCACAGTGACTCACACCTATAATCCCAGTGACTCTGGGAAGCAAAGGCGGGAGAATCACTTGAGCTCAGGAGTTCAGGATCAACCCGGGCAACATAATGAGACCCTGTCAGTACAAAGAATTTAAAAATTAGCCAAGCATGGTGGTGTGTGCCTACAGTCCTGGCTGTTTGGGAGGCTGAGGCTGGAGGACCACTTGAACCCAGGAGTTGGGGCTGCAGTGAGCCATGATTATGCCACTGAACTACAGCCTGAGTGACAGATTGAGACCCTGATGCTTAAGGTTTTTTTTTTTTTTTAATAAAGATTTTAAATAACAGGTATAGAAATGAAATCATTTCAGTTTGGTTTGTATCTTCTCCACATCTTTTCTAACTTCATTCTATTCTTATTCCTAAGGTAAAAAGGCATTTGCAAAGGGAGAAAATGAAGGCCAAACAGAAGCAGGCTCCAGCTTCTGCAAAAACTTGGATTCACAAATGTCCCTGAACAGAAAATGAAGCTCACTTCAGAACACACACTCTCTGCCTTGAAAACTAAAGAAACTATTCCTTTTCACATGACCACAAGTCCTCTGATGGAAATGTACAGCAGAAACTCTTGAGAGAGAGGCTAAAAGCAACTCTGTTCTCCCCCTTCCCCTAGACTTTTCTTACGAAAAGTCAATAATTAAGCAAATTGCTTAACACTTGGTTCCAGTTCCTGCCTATCTGGAGTTTAAATGCATCATACACCATTAATTTCACGCTGCAGTTTTTATTTTAAAGTAACAAGATGTCTTTACACTGACACTGAAAATTCATCGATTTTAGAGCCAGGAATTCCCATGTTACACAGGAAGAAATAGAAGTCTACTGAATTAATTTTTTAAAAGAAAAGAGATCAAATATTTCTTTGTTTTTCCTTTTGGAAACTTTTATGTATAATTCTTTCTGCCTGCCTACTTTTCTGCAAAAATGAGATGTACAGATTTCGGTTCCCTGCTATGAAAAGTGATGTGGTGGCAATTTTATAAATGTTGCTTTCTGATTTTTATCAGAGTGAGAAAATAATTAAAATTATATTGATTTGCAAGTAGTAAACAGTTCATATTTTGACTTCCCCTCATTTTAGTTTAATATAATTTGCAATAAATGTACATATTGTTGTTTGTTTCATAAAGCATATCACTTTAAAATGGTTTTTACTCCTGTGATTATGTTGGAATATTTGGAATTTTAAAGGAGTAAAGACTGTCCAGCATTTGGTTTTATAATGTTTGTCACCAGATTTTTATTAATAATGTAAAAAAAAGTCAATTTTTAAAAAATAGTTGGACTTCGGCAGCTTTGTAAGGAAAGCTGGAGGTGTTTTAGGATTGCTGTCAATTTTCAGCATTGTGCTATTGGGAAATAAGTGTTTTGCTTTGGTCTGATGGTCTGGGCTCATTTTTATGTTTATTTTAGAAAACTGTTGCATCAATATGTTATGTTTCTTGGCGTTGTTCAGCATAGGTGATGTGTGCACTTTTTGTGTACACATAATCATATTTAAGTTTTTTGCATAAAATAAATGCTTCTAGATGTCATATGGCAGTCTTTTTAATCTTTTTATCATATGCTTGTGAATTTTTTCATGTTAAAGAGCTGAAGTCATAACATGATTACAGTCAACTCTCCATTATCTATATAAAATAGTGACTATGCCTCAGGTTTTTAATTTTTTGGTAATCATAAACTTAGAAAATAAAGAAGGCATATAAAACCTGATTCCGGAGGAACTTGAAATTTGTCTTTTCTCATGACCAGAGTTCGGTCCTCCCCCATTGTCCACTATAGGGTCATCCCCAAAGCCCTGGCAGAATGTGCTGACTTCATTTTCTTACTCATCCCTAGCATGGGTTAAAGGAACAAACAACATTTGTGTTATGACTTGGTCTTGATAGGCTGTAGTTCGTTTACATGGGATATAGAAGAAACAATGAAGCGCCTCAAAGGTGGATGATTCTGTAGAGTGAAGTTTGAGAGTAAATGTCACTTACGTTCTCATAGATAATCAAGAGTTGGCTGTGTACTGCTTGACTGAAAAATGGGTAGTTATTTTAAATATGCATATACACACACATTCAGGTATTCAGAAGATGTTTAGGGAACAATGGATACCAATGATAGAAAACGATACCTTTGCAGGGGCAGAAAAAGCCCTACTCTTCCTTATTGCCTCTTCAGAACCCTTTAGAAAGTATAAAATGTTGCCTCCAACATGCTGAAAAAAGAGTATCTATGCATAAGTATCAGAGAAGTCCCTCAAGCAAGCAGTAGGTGTGTTACATTTAGAAAGAGTTTAAAGTTCTCTTAGCATCAGACAACTTGATTCCTAAGGTTTCCATCGTGTCACCAACAAAAAGTGCATTGATAGGGGCCTTTGGCTCTTCCTCCCTTTGATTAATTGCCCAACATCACAGTTTAATTACCAAGTGTGACATCATATTAAAACGTAGCAGAACTATCTGCATCAGTATATTCCTGTTTAGATTTTTGCAAGAGACGAGTTACTTGATGGTCCTTGTGTGATGTAAATGGCCCACCCCGATTTTGTAACGTGATGCAAGTGTCTGGCGCTAAGGGAAGCAAGGGTAGGACTGCAGAGAGATCAAGCTCATGGGGAGGGACTTGTTTACGGGAAATGTTTTAGTTTTCCTTTTTGAAGGAAAACAAAAATCCCTTAGGAATTTGGTATTCACATCTCAGAGAACTACAACACAAAAGTGCAGACTTATATTTGAGAATTAATATTAACCCTTTGTGTCTAGTTTGAAGCTTCTTGTATTTGTCTAAAACTACAAGCCAGAATTTTGTATCTCCTTTGATAAAAAGTGTGTATAATGTAAAGTAGTTTTGCATATTCTTGTGCTGCACATGGGCTGAATTTTTAAATTTTTTTTAAAAACTTGAAGCAGAACCTTGTAATTTGTGTAAATGACAAGTGTAAAATCCTACCATAAAATGCTAAAGATATGCACTGTTTCAAATAAAACCAAGAAATGCAGCATTACGTAGTAGTGTGGAGCCCTGAATATTCATGTATCCCTGGTATGTCGCAAGTTGGTAAAATGTCTCTGCATATATTCTGTTGAGATGCTGGAGTCTGAATATTCTAATTAGAAATCAAAAGCCACATTTATTTATTTATTTAGAGACGGAGTTTTGCTCTTGTTACCCAGGCTGGAGTGCAATGACATGATGCTCACCGCAACCTCCGCCTCCTGGGTTCAGGCAATTCTCCTGCCTCAGCCTCCCGAGTAGCTGGGATTACAGGCACGCGCCACCGTGCCCAGCTAATTTTTTGTATTTTTAGTAGAGACGGGGTTTCACCATGTTGACCAGGATGGTCTCAATCTCTTGACCTCGTGATCCACCCGCCTCGGCCTCCCAAAATGCTGGGATTACAGGCTTGAGCCACCGCGCCTGGCCTAAAAGCCACCTTTAAACTTCCTGGCTGCGTACTCTGATGCAGTTCACAGTGACTAAGGAAGAACATAGTGTAATAATAAATTTTGAGGGACATTTGGAATTTCCAAACAAGATGTTGGTTTTGGGGGGGTGGCTTTTTTTTTAATGAAATCTTACTCTGTTGCCCAGGATGGAGTGCAACGGCATGATCATGGCTCACTGCAGCAGTCCTGCCCCAGGTTCCTAAAAAAGTGCTGGAATTACAGGTATGAGCCACCAGCCCTGGCCAAAAGGTTACTTTTTTAACCTAAGAACTTAAAAGCAGGCCGGGTGCAGTGGCTCATGCCTGTAATCCAAGCACTTTGGGAGACCGAGGTGGGTGGATCACCTAAGGTCAGGAGTTCAAGACCAGCCTGGCCATCATGGTGAAACCCCATCTTAAAAAAAAAAAAAAAAAGCAGCCTTTTATTCATATTGGCCTATGGTTCATCTATTCATTGCAAATTTTGAAACTTACACATTTTATTATGAAACTCATATATAGTGTTATAACAAATTCAAGAGAGCAAGCGGATTACATAAATGTATCTGGGATAAGGTGACCAGAATGAGAGGTAAAAAAAGCTATCACGCCCGGGCATGGTGACTCACACCTGTAATCCCAGCACTTTGGGAGGGCAGCCGAGGCAGGTAGATCACTTGAGCTTGAGTTCAAGACCAGCTTGGGCAACATGGTGAACCCCATCCCTATCAAAAATACAAAAGTCAGCTGGGTGTGGTGTTGCAGTTACTCGGGACACTGAGGTAGGAGAATCACTTAAGCCTGAGAGTCGGAGGTTGCAGAGCCAAGATTGAACCACTGCACTCTAGCCTGGGCAACAGCAAAACTCCATTTCAAAAATAAATAGCCCAGGTGCAGTGGCTCACACCTGTAATCCCAGCACTTTGGGAGGCCGAAGTGGGTGGATCACTTGACATCAGGAGTTTGAAACCAGCCTGGCCAACATGGTGAAACCCGTCTCTACTAAAAATACAAAATATTAGCCAGGTGTGATGGCACACGCCTGTAGTCCCAGCTACTCGGAGGGCTGAGGCAGGAGAATCACTTGAACCAGGGAGGCAGAGGTTGCCATGAGCTGAAATTGTGCCACTGCACTCCAGCCTGGGCAACAAAGCCAGACTCCCATCTCATAAAGCCCTGAAACGTGTCCATTTGTACCACTGCACTCCAGCCTGAGTGACAGGGTAAGACCCTGTCTCAAAGGAAAAGCTATCATGACTAGTTTTGTATTTTACCAATAAGGGGTTGTCTTTCCACCCCCAGTACTTCCATTGACAAGACTTTTTTTGTCTTTGCTACTCACATAAACTGTCCTGCTCTGACGAGCAGCTCTGTAGCCTGCTTAGGTAATGGTGACAGCATTTCCTACAAGGAGTTGGCTATAAGCCAGCAAGGCAGGGAAGATGGAAATGAGAGTACAGAATCAAGGACCTTTCTACTGAAAGAAACCACACCTTCAACTTTTCACTCCCATGAGGATAATAACCTTCACTTATTTCGCTATTACATGTATCTTATTTCAAAGTCAGCAAGGCAACATAGAACCCATCTCTACCAGAAATTTTAAAAAATAAGCCAGACGTGGTGGTGCGTGACTGTTTTGCCAGCTTTTCAGGAGGCTGAGATGGGACAATTGCTTAAGCCCAGCAGGCAGAGGCTGCAGTGAGCTGAGATCGCACCACTCCACTCCACCCTGGGTGACAGAGACCTTGTCTCAAAGAAAAAAAGTCTTAACAGAAACACATACAAGGTCTCATTTTTAAGGAGCCTGGGCCAGACTGCTGATTAGTACTTCAGTTTTGGGGTGATTCTCAAACATTTCTTCATCAATACTGATTGCTAACTTAAAGCACCTTTCTCCCCTCATTCTCAGGTTACTTCTGTTGTTCTTGAGCAAGGACCATGTCATTTGGAATAAATCCTGTTTTTTGTATGTGTTTTTCTTTTTTATTTATTTATTTATTTTTTTTATAAAGATGGGGTTTCACCATGTTGGTCAGGCTGGTCTTGAACTCCCGACCTCAGGTGATTTGCCCGCCTTGGGCTCCAAAGTGCTTGGATTACAGGTGTGAGCCACCACGCCCGGCCTAAATCTTGTTATTTTTAGTAAACAGCCCTACATTCTTCCGGCAGACGCTTGAATGGTGACATGGTTTGGCTCTTTGTCCTCACTCAAATCTCATCTCTTGCATTGGAACCAAATCATTAAAAATAAATAAAAATCTCAAATTGTAATACTCACATGTTGAGGGAGGGGCCTAGTGTGAGGTGACTGCATGGGGCAGTTTCCCCCATGCTGTTCTCTAGATAGTGGAGTTCTCATGAGATCTGATGGTTTAAAAGTGTGGCCCCTCCTGGCTCTCACTCTCCCCTGTTTCCGTGTAAGATGTGCCTTGCTTCCCTTTCCCCTTCAACCATGATTAACTTTCCTGAGGCCTCCCCAGCCATGTGGAAATGTGAATCAGTTAAACCCCTTTCCAGTCTCAGGCAGGTTTTTTTGTTTTTTTGGGTTTTTGTTTTGTTTAGACTGAATTTCACTCTTGTCCAGGCTGGAGGGCAGTGGTGCAACCTCGGCTCACTGCCACCTCTGCCTACTGGATTCAAGTGATTCTCCTGCCTCAGTCTCCTGAGTAGTATTTTTAATAGAGACAGGGTTTCACCATACTGGTCATGCTGGTCTTGAACTCCCGACCTCAGGTGATTCACCTGTCTCAACCTCCCAAAGTGCTGGGATTACAGGCATGAGCCACTGCGCCCAGGTGCAGGCAGTTCTTTGCAGCAGCTTGAGAATGGACTAATACAAAAAAACAACTAGAAGTCAGTAAGACATGTAAGGAGCACCGTAGTGCTGAGTCCGATCTGCAAAAGCCAACTAGAAAATGGGAAGTCGCCATTTTTCATCATTGCGGGCATTTATGTAATCCGTAGAGACTAGGCACGAGGCCAGGGGCAGACATTAAAAACACCAAGATGGGGTGCCTTTCGAGGTAACACAGGCAGCAGGTAACACAGGGAGCTGCAACTGTTCAGGTGACACAGACTTCAGAGTCCTGATGGATGCCGTAGAAGCAGGAAATCCCCACCTTTTCTACACAGTAAAGGCCAATTCTGAGAACTGTTATGCGCAAGGAGGTGCCTAAAGAAGTGACTGGGCCAGGTGCAGTGGTTCACGCCTGTCAAGGTGGGAGCATCACCTGAGGTCAGGAGTTCAAGACCATCCTGACCAACATAGAGAAACCCTGTCTCTACTAAAAATACAAAATTAGCTGGGTGTGGTGGCGCATGCCTATAATCCCAGCTACTCGGGAGGCTGAGGCAGGAGAATAGCTTGAACCCGGGAAGTAAAGGTTGCAATGTGCTGAGATCGTGCCATTGCACTCAAGCCTGGGCAACAGGAGCTGGAAACTCTCAAAAAAAGAAGAGACTGGCCTGAGCAAACCGCCCTGCCTCAGGGGATGAGGAGCTGGACCTAAAGCTGGAGGCGGCTCTCCAGGCTGAGGGCTGGGGAAAGGCCACCGTTTCGGTGACGACCAACACTCCTAACCTCCCTGCACCCTGTTGCTCTGCGGAAGAGCTGGCCCCAGCCCTCGTACCTCTCCGTCCACAGTAGTCCAGAGGGTCAAGCCCCACTCGAAGCACAAATTCTGGTGTGTCAGTAATTCCCGTGGCTTCTTTGGACAAACTGTGCAACCTTATGAGTTTAGTGAACTCCTCCAAAGCAAGGCAGCATCCCCAGGAAGAGCCCATTTCTCAGAGCCTGTTTGTTTTGTTTTTTTTTTTGAGACAGAGTCTTCCTCTGTAGCCCAGGCTGGAGTGCAGTGGCACAATCTTGGCTCACTGCAACCTCTGCCTCCTGGGTCCCGGTTCAAGCGATTCTCCTGCCTTAGCCTCCTGAGTAGCTGGGATTATAGGCACATGCCACCATGCATAGCTGATTTTGGTATTTTTAGTAGAGACAGGGTTTCATCATGTTGGCCAGGCTGGTCTTGAACTCCTGACCTTGTGATCCACCTGCCTCAGCCTCCCAAAGTGCTGGGATTACAGGCACGAGTCACCACACCTGGTCTTTCAGAGCCTTTTTGAAGAGATACACCCTGGTGGCCCCCCCACCCCTAATCCAAAAAACCCTGACAGTTTTTCCTTGTGGATGTATCTGGAGGAAAGTCTCCTCTAAGAGGAAAGTCAACTGCAGGGACTGAAAGAGAAGCTGTCTGTCCCTTTGCAACCCGCCTCAGGCTAACAGCTGAAAAGCAAAATACTGGTTACCCCAAAACTTTACCTGACTTTCAGATGTAGGCCAGACCTAGGAGGCCATGGTCTCTGCATTTTTTTGCCCATTTGGCAGCTTGGCCTGCCCATGAGAACTTATAATGAGCAGCAGGGTGTGTCTTTTTAGAAGCAGTGACTCACTGGGGATATTAAAAGTAGACAGGTCTTCATTTCCTTCTCGCCACACATACACAACTCGGAAGTTCTCTTAATGACAAGGCATCCACACAACATAGTAGTCAAACGTTTCTCAATCTCCACAGCTGATTCAG